AAATTCCTTTGAAATTTTATTGCATGTTGTCAAGGCAACGAAACCCATAAAGGCGCCCATCACCAAGACAATTCAATTTGTGTGTGCAAGCAGTGACCTCCAGTGGGCCGTCTGCAAATTGCAGTCCAGCCAAAAATACAGTTTATCTTTGAGTACAAGCCGTAAGCAAGTGCAACTTCTGCTGAAGAGATTGAAGTATGTTTTTGTTATTTCGCTACCCTTTGTTTATGAGTTATTGAAAGAAGGTCAAGCCCTTTCAGAAGTTTCACATCCAGCCAGGTCACTAGACGGATTCCGAGTTTGGGTGAAAATCCCTTAGGGATGCCAAAGCTGGAGAGGAGCTGGGTGAGCCTCAGAAGGGATAACGCCATTGGCAATAACTCCAAACAGTAGTACCGCAACACACCCTAGTGGTTAATAAGTGAATTGCATCTGCGTCTGCAAAGTATCGCAACACATTCTAACGGCTGACACGTGAATAGCCTTGAGTTTGCAAGCACAACAACGCACCCCCCCCCCCCAAGTGAATTGAACTCAAAGAATTTAAAGAAATTCTCTGAATTAATCCTGGTCATAGAATTATTGAATCTTTCCAGTCATGGCGGAAGGCTCAGACTCGCCAAACCCCATGCTTGAACCCAATAGAGATTCAGTATTAGTCTACCAAAGCTCAGATTTAGATGTCCAGCTAGCAGAAAGGTTAGAGGCAACTCAGATATCCTATGACCTAAGGCAGTACAGAAAGCCTACGCAGATTACGCGGTCAACCTCTTGGAGGAATGGGACAGCGTCTATCAAAAGGTACGAGAGTTGTTGGGAGAGGTTGCAACGCTTCTGCGACGAACTCAAAGACGATCTACCACCCGAACGTCTCCGAACCTTAAGTGAGGACATGGACGTATGCTACACACCAGGGGCAATATACGGAGAACGCCTCTGCAACATCCAGAGTGAACTAAAGGATGATGATGAAATCCAGGATAAAATGCTGTTCATTCAGAAGTTAAAAGAGGAACATGTAGAGCAGTTTCGACACGGCAAAGATCTTATCCAAACCAGCCTGAGGAGGGAGACCGCCCTGGGCAAGAAGGCTGAGTCAGATGTGCCTCATCTTTCGCATGCATCATCTCAGCAGTCACAAAAAGCCTCCTCTCACGCTTCTAAGAAAGCGTCCTCATCTAGTCACACTGGGTCCAGAACACTACCATTTTTTTGTTTCTTTTAAAAATCACTGCATCTAATAGTTATATAGTGAGCTGCTTACATTTTTTGCACTATACAAATACCCATGCACACATTTCAGTCACAGTGCAATAGCCCAAATGCCCCAACAATAATCCTGCCTGTTTCCCTAGGCTCAACCACTAGCCAAATTCATCCCCCATGGCACATCAGGGGAAAAAATAATAAATATATGAAAACTTCAACCTCAAAAAAAATTCAGTAAAGAAATGAGGCCAGAATCGTAGGAGAGAAATGTCATAGAAACAGCAATTATAAGTATGCACTATACCCGTGATGACAAACCTTCGGCACGTGTGCCACAGGTGGCATGCGGAGCCATTTGTCAGGGCACGCAAGGCGTTCCCTGTCAGCTGACCAGCGTGCATGTGCGCACTGGCCAGCTGACTTTGACCTTTTGAGGGCATTTTTTTGTTCTCTTCCTTGAAGCCTCCAAAGTGTGAAAAACCGGCCCTACGGGCAAACAGGAAATTCAGGAAGGGACTTCCAGTTTGCTCGTATGGCCGTTTTTCACCCTCCGGAGCCTTCAGGGAAGCCTCCTGAAGGCTCTGGAGGTCGAAAATCAGCCCTACAGACAAACCGGAAGTCACTTGCACACTGTGGGGTGGTAGCACGCATAGCATTATGGGTGTGGCACGCCGGCACACGTCCCCCTGTGCTCCCTCCGCTTTTGGCAGGGCAACCAAAAAAGATTTGCCATCACTGCACTAGAACAAAATTTACCGACAGTCTTCAAGCAAGATATATTCTAAGTATTTTAAAAAGTTAACCGCAGGCTAAAAAACATGGTTAGAAGCTAAATCTTAATCACCTAGCCTAAGACCTTCGGTCCATTGTGATGTCAGAGCCAAATGGATAACTAACCACTAACATTTTGAAGGTACTATTTTGACATATGTTTTTTTAAACAAAGGTTTTTTTTTACTTTTTGTTACATATTTTAACTTCTTTTATAAACAAAGTATTGTCCAGGTTTTTCCCCCTTTACATCTTCTATTATGCATAGTTCATTTTACATCATATTTTCATTTTACATTTCAGTCATCTTTGTTCCTAAAGTAAATTTGTTCCACACACACAATCTTAGATAAATCAAGAATCCCCCCACATCAATAACCTAGTTATAATGGTAGCAATCTGTTTTACAAAGCTGCATCACTTCTCCAGCACATTTCAGGCACTCTTAAGGTTGCAGGAGAGGCATTTCATACATGATAATGATTTATTCTGCACTGAAGGCATGGCATCTTTTTCAGAGCTCAAGATAAAGATGGAGCTTGATGAACCCAGAAAGTTGCTTTTCACAAAAAGTGAAAAAGTTTATCTTCTAGCCTTGTCTATTCTGTGTAGCAGCCACAGTTTTCCAGGTTTTCAAAGGATGAGATGCTTACAGGGCACATTGTCTGATATTCTTCAATTAGGACCATTTGCTTGTAAAAACGGGTACTCTGCTCCTGGTCTATGCCCAGGACATGCAAAATAATTGTTAGATCAACTGCTCATTGCCTGCCATGTTGTTGTTCTACAGCTGGCAAATCTACAACACAAGCTGGAAGAATCGAAGGAAGACAACATCAAAATGACCACAATTCTACAAAATGTGTTGGCTTCTCATAACAAGATGCAGGCAGCTCTGGAAAAGGTACAGATTGAATTGGAGCACAAAGATTCGGATATTGCTGGCTTGAAGAAAGAGAGGTAAATGAGCTTGCCGTCCTTCCCCTTTGTATATTG